TTGTATCCAAGTGTTTGTCTTCAATTTCACTGATCCTGTATTCCATCGTTTCAAACCTGCTCCTCAGCCCTTCAGTGATAGTGTGCATTTCTGAAATCTTGTTGTTTGTCTTTTGGATTTCTAATTGTTGTTCTTGTATGATTTCTAGTTTTGAATTTATTTCGGCATTTTGTTCCTTTTTATTCTCCTGAATTCTTTCATTTTTTTCTGTATTTTCCATGAATTTGTCTACCTTTTCCATGAATTTGTCTATTTTTTCCTCATTTTTGCATGCTTTTTCCTTCAACTCTTCGATACCTCTGAATATTAGAGATATGAATTTCCTATCACCAAGTCGTCTGGTGTTTTATTTTGGATGCCTACTGGAACCGTCTTGTCCTGTTTTTTTATATGTTTTGATATTGTCTGCTGTCTTTGGGACATACAGAAGTTATTTTCCTCATTTATTAATTGTAGATGTGTTTGTGTCATCCTGCTTTTTTTAAATTTAGTTGTCTCTGAGTAGGCGGTCTGTGCGTTCTTTGTTGTTTGCTCATCTATGGGCATGATGCTTTTCACCTCCTTCTCCAGTGGGCAGGTCAGTGCTCAGGTATGGTACAGCATGGAAGATCCAGCTGAAGGGGAGTTGCTGAGATGGGTTGTTTGTGGCACGTAACAAGGCTGATAGTGCAGACCAGGAATCAGTGCAGGGCAGGTTCTGGTCGGCAGTGTCTGTGCTACTTAGGTGTGTGATAATCAGCACAAAGTGCAGATGGGCAGGAAAGAGAGGGGAGATTATGATGTGTGGAGTTAAGGTTGGTATGGGAAAGAGGAGAGAGAAGAGAGAGGAACAGGAATCAAAAACATATAAACAAAAAAGTGTTAAGAAGATGGCCTCGGAGTGGAGAGATGAGAGACTGAGAAATGGAGAAAAACTAAAGAAAAAAACGAAGAAGGGTAAAAGAAAAAAATGAATAATTAAAAGTTAGAAGAAAAAAAAAGAAAAGAAAAGAAAAAGCCCCCAGGGATCCCACCAGTGCAGCTGCAAGGACTGGAGAAGTTGTTCCTAGTCTGTGAGGTACAGCCTGGCTCAAAGGGGTAGAGGTGTCACACAGCACCATGTATTCAGGAGACAGGAAGAGAATGTAAGTATAGAGAGATGAGAAATTGAGAAATGAAGAAATACAAATAAGGAAAAAGAGAGAAAAGAAAAGACAATAATCAAACAAAAAACAAGAAAAAAAGTCCCTAGGATTCCACTGAGCAGCCGCACAAACTGAGGGATAAGCTCTTAAGCTGCACAGTACTGCCCGGTTAGAAGGGGTTTCCAAGCCAAGAAAAAATAAAGAAAACATACAAACAAATCAAAGCAAAGAAATAAAAAACAGCCCCAGGGATCCTACCAGCATGGAGGCATGGGCCAGGAAACACTTCCACATCTGGGCAGCATTTCACAGTCTTTCAGAAAGTAGTAAAGATGGCACATAGAACCAGGTATTTGAGCAAAAGGAGGGGGAGGTGGTGAGAGGTATGGAAGAAACCAAAAGCAGCAGAAAAAAGCAACAACAGCAACCAACAAATGGCATGGGTGGGTGGAATCCAAGCGGCACAGGGGTGAAGCCGGTGCTTCCTTGCCAAGAGACTGTGGCCGCAGGAAGAAGAGGAGGCCGAGTGGGGGCGAAGAAGGGTGGGGGGTAGGAAAGCATATATCACTGGTTCCTGGTTGTTCTGTCTCCTCCTGGGAGCTCCATGAAGCTGCTTTCTTTGTTCTCCCTGTTCGCTGATCTCCAACAGGAGTCTAAGATGGCAGATCTGTGCTGCGTTAAGTGATGAAGACCTCTGCGTGTATCTCTCCTTGCTCTCTGCTCTCTGTCAGTTTCTTATTCCATTCTGTGCTTCACTGAGTTCTTTATCTCTTCATTTGATGCTTAGGGTTTCAGGATAGACATTTGTCTCTGTCTGACTTTGTTTTTCAGATCTTTGCTGTGGAAGGATGGTGTTGTGCTTCTGTCTATTGCACCATGTTGCCCAGAAGTACCTATCCTTACAGTTTAATAGCATGTCTTCTACCAGTTTTCAGAATAACTAGAGGTGGTTTAGACAATTTTATCCTCATTA